GAAAGGTTTTCGTTCAGAAGTGGACTGAAAATACTGTTGATGTGACATAATATTTAAAACTATATTTCTACTTATATTCCCATATTTACTGTTAAACGTTCGGGATTTTAGAGTGTTCGAAATTCTTCGCAACCCAAAAAACCAAGTTTCGCCACATAAAAGCCATGGGAATCACGGAAAAGGAGTCCCTCAACTCGCATCTAAATTAAGCTCTCCGCGATCATCATGGGTGGTTATGTCCCAACCCTGAAAACTTCCTGCCATGAACATGAAACTACTTATGGATGAATTTATTAATTCTGATCCACACCATCCGAACAGCTACCAAAAACGATTAATGATCCTGGCTATATGATTACAGTTCTCTGTTATACAAATTAAGAACAACGAAGCCAAACGTTTGGTTCGAATCCACGATATGTCAACAAAGAATGGTTAGCGACCTCCCTAATGTCTAGTTGTTTGATAATAGTTTTTTTTTATAGGAGAGGGGTAAACAAGGATGCGGCTCACCTGATGGTAAGTGACTACCGCCGCCCATGAACAACTGCAACACCAGGGGAATTGCAGATGCGTTTTACGAATTGCAAATAAGGAGGAATTATGTCATATAACTTCTACGTATTCTCGCTAAAAATTATCATATGAAAAACATACAGAGGCTACCTACTAAATATAAATTTGATGTAAAAGTCCACTACATCACATAGTCATTTATGTAGAAATAATAAATTAATATCAAGTAGGATCATCTATTTTCAATTAAGTTACAAACTGTGTGGTTATTGACATCAAGTAGTTTCTCATCCTTCAATACACATACATATATGGCATCATTACCTTATTAAAGTGATGCAGCAATGTGTTGCATCCATCAAACAGTTCCCACATCTATAGTTCGTAGAAAGAAATATTTCTATTAAATGTTCAATATTAAATTAAAAAATGTAACATTCAATTACTGGGCTTGTACAGGTGAGGCGACGCTCTCCTGCAAAGCGATCAATGGATTTAAACGTCCATATCCTTCACCGAAGTCAATTTAATAACATTATTTGTATTTTGCGGCCTGACAAAAAAAAACTTATAATTTACCCCGTATATCATACTAACAGTAGGCAGTTTGTCGCTTGTGAGATAACTTATGGAACCAAAACGTGGCTTTATGAGGAAGTTCAAAGTCACTCAGTGTGCGATGAAAAGGGCTATGCTTAGAATAATTTGAGTACAATCTGTAACAAGGGTATCCACAGAAGAACAAGGGTAAATGACATAGCCTAGCGACCCATGCACCATGGACCCACCGACCCATGGACACTTTAACTTATCAGTAATCTAAAGTATACCATAGTCTAACCTTATAGCCCGAAGAACCAACTACCGTTGGGGAAGAAGGGTTCCCTAGTGTTAGCCTCGCATCGACAAGCGCTGGGTTGATGAAGTGAGGACCTGATGTAGTCGATGGTAGCAGTTTTTTATAGGAGAGGGGGCAAACGAGCATACGGCTCACCTGCTGGTAAGTGATTACAGCCGCCCATGAACAACTGCAATACCAGGTGCATTGCAGGTTCGTTGTCGGCCTTTTAAAAAGGAGTAGGTACGCTCTTTTTTTGAAGGTCCCTAAGTCGTATCGGCCCGGAAAAATCTCTGGTGGTAGTTGATTCCACAAGTAAATTGTGCAAGGAAGAAAACTTCTTTTCAATCGCACAATGGTGGACCGCCAGTCAACCAGATGGTATGGATGGTATCATGAGTTTAGGCAGGATGTGCGATGGTGAAATTATGCGGCTGGAATTCAACAATTCCTCAGAGCCCTCCCCAGAGAGTGGTAAATGAAAGTTTATTCAAGATCGAACTTTGTAGCAATCTATGGGTAACCTAAGTTTAGCAGAGGAATTTAATTGCAATGATATAACGTGACCATACAAGCAGCACTAGGAAAATATAATTGCACATAATAGCAAAAGCTATAATTTGGCGTTCACACATTCTTAAATTGAAAACAATAATTAACAATACCCATTGATTGTTCTTAATGACTCACGGCCACAGACAAGTGAGTAATATTTGTAATAAGTTAGAATCGACTTTTTCAATAAGCTTTACCTTGCATTAAGCGAGTACGAACACAAAGTTCCAAGATTAAAGACAAATATCGTCTATCTATAATAGCAGTTAGAATGTCAAGTACACAAAGACAATAAAGGAAATTTTTGATAGTGGATAACTTATTAGGTATGAACCAAAACTATCGAACTAATCAGTGATTGTGCAATTGTAAATCACGTTTAATTGTTTGGAATGCCGAATTATTACAATCCGTATTCGTTTCTATCAAACATTTAGGGTCACGATTAATTAATTTATTCCGCTAAAGAAACATTTCAGTTACACATAATAAGGATACAGAATTTAGTGTCCTTAAAATATACTCTCGTTAAGCAAGTCAACCGAGTTCTTTCCGATCGGCTTGACTAACTGGCACTGCGTATAGATGTTGCATCTCTTTGCGTATTTTATCTGAGGAATTGTTCGTTTTTTCGGACCGATACGACTTAGGCACCTTCAAGAAAAGAGCCTACTCCTTTTTAAAAGGCTGGCAACGCAACTACAATTCCCCTGGTGTTGCAGTTGTTCATGGGCGGCGGTAGTCACCATCAGGTGAGCCGCATGCTCGTTTGCCCCCTCTCCTATAAAAAAAATCATTACATCCTTTCACAAGTCGACTGCTGAACATGAGGACTATGTTTTTTTTATTTTATAGCATAGGGTGACAAAGGAGCACACAGTCCACCTGATGGTAAGTGGGTCCTGTGACCCATAGACATCTACATCTATCATCATTAAAAACTCAAGATGCAGATGCGTTTTCACACGTGAGGAGTAAGATGGAATGCCTCTTTGCCAGTAAAAAGGGTCTCCGGTTCTCTACACTCACTATACGAAACACAGGAGCGTTAAGCTGCTATTTTACGCTGGTTTTCTTTGGTTATATCCCAAGGAACGCTACCAAATGCGTATTTGGTAGCGTTCCTTGGGGCATGATCATGATCAGCAGAAGGATGCAGGCGGATTAGATTCGCATTTAATCCGCCTGCATCCTTCGACTTCCTCCATGTCTCACCAGGTCGTCACTTCATTAACAGCCTTACACTTCGCTTACCAGCGAGAGAATCTTTCTTTTCCATCGTTTGTGGCATTTTCGACAAATATCGCAAGCCCATTTTCACTAAAGCTTCCTGATCCCTTAGGCTAAGTCGGGTACTCCAGTTTTATTGCAAATATCTTCGTTATTATGAATTCTGTCACGAATAATCAGCTTCTTTATTTTACCAACAGTAAGAGACCACACGTCTCAGATACATATATCATCACAAGCAAATCGTACTGATGTACAATCACTATATACTTTTGTTTTCACATTTTGAGGAATACGTGACGAGAAATGTGTCTTCATCTTCTGAACGCAGTGCATTCGTGTTTTATCCGTGATTGACCTCTTATTCGAGATTGATTAATTGAATAGTTGAGATTAATCAAAGGTAATATATGTACGAGTACATTTCCTTTAAAGTTTTTATTATTAACACTTCTATTCTAAAGTTCAAACTAAAATCAAGTTTTTGTCTGCTGTCACCTTATAAATGGACTATTATTTTAGATGGAGCGCGTTCATTATGCATATGAATTAACATCATGCAAACTAACTCAAAGGAAAGAGGCTGTGGGACAGCGCCCAACAATATAGTACAATGACCACTATTTCTATTGTTAACACTTATTTGACTAAACTTATTCTACAAGTGTGAACTACATTCTATTGTTAATATTAGAAAATATGCCACATTGATGCAGCATCAGGCATTTGCATTAAGTAATATTTATAATAATCAACATTTTATAAATATGTAATTGTTTTACTACTCAATTTCTAATGCTAACTCCATGTGATCGCATTACAAACGTATGGTAAGAAATCAAATACCTTACATATATTATCCCGAACGTTGACCACTGTGTGGTTTAATTCATACGGCACTCAATATTGCTGTTTTGAAATTTTGTATTGTATTAATGTTATTATACGAAATTGTCAATCTAGAGGCGACCACATGTCAATAAACTGTTGTAATTAATCAGTATACAGATTTTAATTTATAAGGGCCTGAAGGTCAAGCTTTTACTTAATAGGAAATTAAGTGTGACTAGTTAATAATTTGCATTTAAACGACTTTAAAAAGAGAGGATTTTTATAATTAGACTGTTAAAATTTCTTTGTATGTATGTAACACGATAACTTCATCAAATATAAAATTAAAGAGGATAAAGTAATATCACATTCTGAAGTCGGGGTTTCAATTCTTCTATACACTATATCTTAGTCCCGACTTCAGAATGTAAATTTTATTATTCTTATGAATTGCTAGTCGTCGGTTTCACTTTTTACTAAAAGTCAATTTTAGTAAATTCGATAGCTCTGGTAAAGGTGTATTTTATCGAAGAAAATAGAATAAGCTTTTAAGAAAGCTTCGTGCTTAGAAATTATCAAAGTTTGTTGAGTCCGAGAAGTGTAGTGTTTTTAAACAATTTCCATCATATCGATTAATTTTATTCCATAAACTATGAATATATAATTAGACATATAATTCACATTCATCTTTTCTGTTACCACTGTATACAGCAGTTCTGGAAACAGCAAAATTAAACAGTTATTAAATATGTGTCAATAGTTTGAGAAACATTTGAACACATGCTAATTATTACAGGTAGCTTGCCGCTGCAGGGCGAAGGCGCCGTCGGCTAGAGGGAAATTAATGAATTATTATTACCTACCTCGTGCACGCGAGCCGTGAGCGACCTCGCGGTGTCAAAGTTACGGAACTGAAGTGACCGCACACCCCACCACGTACAGGGCAGCAGCTCCGTTTTGCTTTTCATATAAAAGTCACACTCCGGCCCGATAATAGTATCATTCACTTGCTCTGATTAGCAACTGCAAAATGTTCTCCAAAGTAAGTCATTCCTATATATTTTAAGGAAATATTTAATGTTTTTATATTTTATACTTTAAAGAATATACAATAATTTTCTTGTCTCCAGGTGTTCACCCTTAGCGCCGTGTTGGCTGCCGCCAGCGCTGGTTTGCTGCCTTTCCACCACTCCGCAGTGTCGTCCCAGAGCATTGTTCGCCACGACTCGCCGATCCACTATGCTTCTGCTCACTACGCTGCTCCTCTGGTTCATGCTGCTCCCATTGTGCACGCTGCCCCTCTTGCTCTAACTCATGGTCACGAATACGTAAGTGTTAGCAGTATGTATTTTATACGGTAATTTTGATAGTAAGATTTTAGTGATCGCCAGTTAACACCCTCTTTTTATTTTATAGTCTCATCCCCGTTACGACTTCTCTTACTCCGTGGCGGACCATCATACCGGTGACCATAAGAGCCAGCACGAAAGCCGTGATGGAGGCGCCGTTCACGGCTCCTACTCCCTCGTCGAGCCTGACGGTTCCGTTCGTAAAGTAGACTACACTGCTGACGACCACCATGGGTAATTATACTTTTTAAATACGTCCTTTTTTAATACATAGAGCCGTGATAGCTCATAAGCTCATAAGCGCTCGGTGTAAATTTCACAGTACGCTAACAACCCAGGTTCGATTTCCGTCGGCACCAATTAAATTATTAATTGCAATTTTAAGTGCTGCTTTACCATGTGCTTGGCGGTGAAGGAAAAGATCGTGAGGAAATCTGCATGTCTGAGAAATAAAAAAAAATTTTTTGAATACATGTGAAGTTTGCGAACACACATTGGGGTAACGCGGCGGACAATTCCTTGCCCTAATAAAACCCTCTCTGGAATGAGATGCCTGTGTCCAGCTGTTGAAAATTCAATACGTACGATTTTAAAACAACTTCTATCTTTTCTTTCCAAATGAACTACAAAGGTAATAAGACGATGCTAAATGAGAAATATAATAAACGATAACTCGTATATTATTTGTCTATTTGCAACTTCATTGGCCCGCAATGATGAATAAAGATACCCTAAATCTTCTCATTACTTTACTAGTACAAACTACATATGCAATGTTAATTGTTTTACAGTTTCAACGCAGTCGTTCACAAGACCGCTGGACACCACCCTGCGCCAGTGGTACACGCTGCCCCCATTGTCCACGCAGCTCCCATCTCGCATTACGCCGCCGCTCCCATCTCACTTGGACATCATGGTCTCCTCCATCATTAAACAACTAACTCATAGAATACATATTATGATTGTGACGGATGATTGATGTTTGTGATATTTATGTGTATAATATGATGATTGTCTTAATACTTAATTGTAAATAAAATCAATTGCTGATCAGTATATATTACGTTATTACTCACAACCCTTCGTAGCAACTTCAAAAATTTCATACTGCTGGTTATTAATGCAGGATTTACATAATAGAATATCATAGTTATATATAATTTAAAAAGGTTTACAATGGGCTATTCAACAAACTAGTATTATATCAACGAATATTTGGTAAACTACAATATTATACTTCACCTTACTTTTTACACCTCTAATGATGATATCAAAAACAGGGACCTTGAAATATTAAACTAGACAGTGGCATAAGTCATTATGATAATTGGACTACAGATATTTATTTGGTTGCGTGCTAACGTTCACGCTTCGCACTATTTTACTACCTTCTATAATTAAAACGCATTTAAAGTTTTCGAAATCTCCGTACGACAGCGGTGAAGTGTCCTAGAAATATACAATTAGAAATGCAACTTTTTATTATTCCATATCATTTAAACATACATAATTATATATAAAATTTACGCAAATGTTCAAATCTAATTTACACTTGATTTGTACATGGATAGTTTCAACAACACGTAACGGCACTTTAAACACGATCATTATGTGTAACGACCAGCAAGTGAAGGCAAACAAACAAACCCCATTAGTAGCCCAAGTCGTCCTGCTATAAATTACCTCATTTTCCTGTGAAGACTCAATAAAGATTATATTTCAAAATTGTAAAATGTGGTCATTACCCATCTATAGTGCAAACGTCTTATTGTAAATTACAGGTATTACAAATGACATGTTTGAATATAACATATATATTCATTTCATCATTCATTACTGCCCTTCACAAGTCCACTGCTGAACATAGGCCTCCCCCAAAGAATGCCACAAAGCACGGTCCTGAGCCACCTGCATCCATCGACTTCCTGCATGTCTTACCAGGTCGTCACTCCATCTCGTGGGGGGACGCCCTACACTTCGCCTACCGGTACGAGGCTGCCACTCGAGAACCTTTCTTCCCCATCGGTTGTCGGTTCTTCGAGCTATATGGCCGGCCCACTGCCACTTCAGCTTACTAATCCGTTGGGCTATGTCGGTTACTCTGGTTCTACTGCGGATATCCTCATTCCTAAGTTTATCATGCAGAGAAACTCCGAGCATAGCCCTCTCCATAGCTCGCTGAGCGACATTGAGCTTCCTCATACGGCCAGCAGTGAAGGACCACGTCTCAGTTCCATAAGTCATCACTGGCAACACGCACTGGTTGTACAATTTCGTTTTCAGGTTTTGAGGTATGTCTGACGAGAAGATGTGTCGTAGCTTCCTGAACGCTGCCCAGCCGAGTTGAAACCGTCGATTGACCTCTCGGTCGAAGTTGGACTTACCTAGTCGGACTATTTGTCCCAGGTAAACATACTCGTCAACAACTTCGAGCTTAGTGCTCCCAACAACTACCGGCATAGGTGTGACATGGACATTGAACATGATCTTTGTTTTGTCCATGTTCATCTTAAGACCTATCCGTTGGGAAACACTATCGAGGTCATTGAGCATAGTGCTTAGGTCCTCCAGCGATTCTGCCATAAGGACTATATCGTCGGCAAATCGAAGGTGAGTGATGTACTCGCCATTGATGTTGATACCGTATCCTTTCCAGTCCAGAAGCTTGAAAACGTCTTCCAATGCAGCGGTGAAGAGTTTCGGGGATATGACGTCACCCTGTCTTACACCTCTCTGCAATTGGATAGGTTTCGTACTCTGGTTCTGTACTCGGATAGCCATCGTAGCCCTACTGTACAAGCACTTCAACACTTCGATATACCGACAGTCAACTTGGCACCGCTAAAGGGACTGCAGCACCGCCCAAATTTCGACGAAATCAAAGGCTTTCTCATAGTCCACATACGCCAGACATAGTGGCAAATTGTACTCTTCGGACTTCTGTACAATCTGCCGAAGGGTATGTATGTGGTCTATGGTGCTAAAGCCCTTTCGGAAACCGGCTTGTTCGGGAGGCTGGAAGTCGTCAAGTCTGCGCGCGAGACGATTCGTAATGACTCTCGAAAACAGCACGTAGACGCGGCTCAGAAGGGAAATCGGTCTGTAGTTCTTCAAGAGAGCGTTGTCACCTTTCTTGAAGAACAAGACCACCGCACTTCTGCTCCACGCCTCCGGTGTAATGCCACCATGGAGGACGGAATTAAAGAGCTTCTGAAGGACTTCAAGTACCGGTCTTCCACCCGCTTTCAGAAGCTCCGCTGTAATTCCATCCTCGCCTGGGGCCTTACCGTTTTCAAGGTGCTGGAGAGCCATTCTAATCTCGCTCAGACTGACGTCCGGGATATCTTCGGAATAGTGTCGGATGAGACTCGCTCTTGGATCGTTACTCACACTTGCGTGTGGCTCCAACGATGACGTGTACAGCTGCCCATAGAACCTCTCAATCTCACTCAAAATCTCAGGTGTCCCGGAAACGATGCTGCCACATCCTGTCTTCAGCTTTGACAGGTGGCTCTTTCTGGCAGACAGATCTCTGGCAAAGACTTTGGAGCCTTGGTTCCGCTCGATCGCTTCTTCAATACGAGCTGTATTGAAGTTGCGTAAGTCCCGCCGCATGCATTTGGAGATCTGTCTGTTCAGATGCCTGTATGCTGTCAAGTCTGTTGAAGAATGTAGCTTCATCTCCCGTCTAACAGCCACGAGATTAAGAGTGTGATCGGAGAGTTTTTGTGTTCTTCTGCGGCGGGTCTTGCAGAACTTAGCTCCGACCGCATGGACAGTTTCCACGAGCTTGTCATTCATATCATCCACTTCATTGCAGTCTTCTAGGCACTGAAAACGGTTTTGTAACTCGAGCTGAAAGGTTTCAGGACTTTGGAACAGAGCACGAGGGGGACGGAGCGTTGACTTCATTAGACGAGACCTCTCCAACTTAACGTTTAGGTTCAGTGTGCCTCTAACCATTCGGTGATCGCTACCTGTTTTCACCCTCGCGATCACGGAGACATCACTGAACAGTTGTCGTCTGGTCGTCATAATGAAGTCAATCTCATTTTTTGTCGAACCGTCGGGGCTCGACCAGGTCCACTTCCTGTGGGGCCGCTTCTGGAAGAAAGAGTTCATCATAAAGAGTCCCTCTTTCTCCATGAAGTCGGCCAGCTGCTGGCCCCTTGGGTTTCGTTGCCCTATTCCAAATTTCCCTACTTTCAGCTCACCGTTCTCTCTTGTGCCTAGTTTTGCATTGAAGTCTCCCATTAACACCGTATATTGGGTTTTGGAGGAATGCATGGCTCTAGAGATATCCTCATACATTTCCTCCACCTCCCCATCGGGGTGTGTCGAGGTTGGTGCGTAAACCTGTATGACCTTCAGCGAATACTGTTTGGTGATTCTGAGTATAAGGTACGCAACCCTCGTCGACACACTCCCGATCTTTACAACGTTGTTAACGAGAGACTTGTGGACGATAAATCCGACACCTCCTTGGGACAGATGGTCGCCCTCCTGGTGATAGAGCAAGTTGCCGGATTCGAGGATTACCGTGTCCTCCCCCTCTCTTCGGAGACTTCGGATAATCCTATAATATGCCAGCGCAACTTGTCTATCTCTTCTTCCAGCTCCACGATCTTCTCGTCAGTCCTCAGGGTGCGTGCGTTGTACGTTGCCAGGTCGAGTCGTCTAAGGTGGCAACCGAACCTCCACCGGAGATTCTTAGCACCCCCTGCCCCGCCGTTACCATGGTCGCCACCGTAGCCAGGAATAGCGGGGCCGCCGGGGACTGGGGGCCGTCTCTTTGTTACATTCATAGGGGGGTATTTGCCATAGTTGCCACGCTTGGCGAGCGGGTTGGCAACCGCAGTTTTTTATTGTAATTTTGGCTATTATCAGGAAGATGCTGCTGCCCATCTCCTGCCTGTTTCCCTTCGTCGCCTTTTACGACACCCACGGGAGGATATGGGGTAGTGGTATTATTGACCGCCACTACACGGCACATATATATACAATATTATATATATGTATATATATATATACATATATATATATACATATATATATATATATATAATATAATATATATATATATATATATATATATGTATATATTATATGTGTGTGCAAATTATAACTTATTTATTTAAAGCAATAGAATATTTACAATGTTACAGACTGTTACTTAGTATAGTTACAGCTGTATACTTGTTATATATTTTGATACGATTTCAAATAACATAAGAAACAAAGAGTATCAATATAAAATTAATGAGAATTATACTTACATCGAGGGAGGCCTATGTTTGACATTGTGGTATTACGGGTTGATGAAGAAATTAATATTAGGTAAGCTTGTTAGAAGAGCCGTAGTACTCGAGCAACCCGGGTTCGATCCCCGCTGGCACCAATGAAATTGTTAAGTGCTGATTTAACACGTGCTCGTCGGTGAAGGAAACCATCGTGAGGAAACCTGCATGTCTGAGGAATAAGAAAAAAAATATTTCGAAGACATGTGAAGTTCGTCAACACGCAATGGGGCAGCGCGGCGGACATTTCCTTGCCCTAAAACCCTCTCAGAAATGAGAGGAGGCCTGTGCCCAGCAATGGGACGTAAATAGAACCGGAGACCCTTTTTACTGGAAACGAGGCATTCCATCTTAGTCCTCACGGGTGACATTATACTCGTATATGCATTATAATCTGCATTTTGATTCGTAATCGAAGATAGATGTAGATGTCTATGGGCCACAGCATCAACTTACCATCAGGTGGACTGTGTGCTCGATGCCCTAAGATAAAAAAAATAAAATCCGCCTGCTAAGCGTGGCAACTATGACCAAATTCTATGAGGCAATATATGTTCAACGGTGGACTTTGACGGGTTGTAATGATGATGATCATAAAGACAAAATGACTTTGTTTTATCACGGCATAGTAGAATT